ATTTATACCCAAACGAAGGGCTGAGACTACAGAATATCCCCAATCACTCACTCAGAAGCACTCACAAACTCACATACACACACACACACACTCATATAAACACACAACACACACACACAATTTTCACATTTTTAAGAATTCTTTATCACAACAAAAATGGATGTTTATCTCGAGCTACTATTTACCCGCCTCTAAACATCACATGATAATGGAAAACTGTGATTGGCCGCTGTACATGTCAGTTCTCCTGTGGGCGGGGTTTGGCTAGAATCAGCTGTAATTTGACTAATCTCAAGACCCGATGAGACGAGCCGAGCTGTAAAATCGACTGTTGATGCTGTTCATGACCTCATCACTCTGTAAACTCGGGACAGACTGGAGGAGTCACAGCCAGAGCTTTGAAGAGAGTGAAACACAGAGACGTGACGCTCATGTGGAATATAAATGGATGTGAAGGTCTCTTTGATAAACACGCCTGCGCATTCTTCCCCATCAGATGTAATTGAGTTCACCGCCGCAGACGCCTGCAGGGAATAAAGAACGATTCATTTGTGTCCTCAGATGAAACCAGTCTGAATCTGAGTTTAATAAGCTGTTTACAGGTAGAAAGGAAAAATTCACACTGAAAGAAAAGTCATTCCAAACTCAAATGCATTAAAGACGCATTAAAGAAGCTCAATTAAGTATCATACGGACACAGTTATGATGCATTATAGTGTTTCTGGAGCTGGATGGCAAAATTCAATTCAGTTCAATTCAAGTTTATTTGTATACTGCTTTTCACGATGCAAATCGTTGCAAAGCAGCTGTACAGAAATGTTAAGTTTCTACAATATATTTAGGAGTAGGTTATTCGTGGTGACTATGACAGAAATGTACAGTAAAAATCATGCAGTTAGTTACAAGTTACATGCAATCAAACAGACGGTGAACACTATTAACTGCAATGATTATATGTTGCGATTAAACATTGCGATTCAAATTCAATTTGAAATGTAATATGCAAAATTGCAATGCAATTCTGTATTTAAATTTGCATTTTCCCATACATATGTGCAACATTTAGTGCAAAATGAAAAATTTTAATTAAAAGCATATTTTAATGCTTTATTACTTGCAAAATGAAAATGTATTACCCAAATTGATTAGATATGTTTAACATGTCCACGCAAAAACTAGCAAAATTATTTAATTAATTAAATGCATCACGTCCGATGTGTAAGGTGGCAAATCGGTAAATAAGTGTAGAAATCTCTTTGATCTCGTGCATCAATCGTAGTGTAAAACAGTGAGAGATGTTGAGGCAGGTGAAAAGCGTTTGGTTAATGGTGAATATTGACCTATTGTGCGTCCTGTTGCCAAGCTTGATGTAATGATTGACAGGTCAGGGGGCGTGTTCGGCTCGGGAATGCATTTTCAAATCCACATTGACTTAAACTACATTCATCACGGTGTATTTAATGAAAATGCAATTGAAACGTCTTATATGTAACTGTCAATGCATTTAAGAAAAATAAAAGACATTTAAATCACCATATGTGGCCCTGGAGCACAAAACCAGTCATAAGGGTAAATTTTGTGAAACTGAGATTTATACATCATCTGAAAGCTGAATAAATAAGCTTTCCATTGATGTGTGGTTTGTTAGGATAGGACAATATTTGGCTGAGATACAACTATTTGAAAATCTGGAATCTGAGGGTGCACAAAAATCTAAATATTGAGAAAATCATCTTTAAAGTTGTTCAAATGAAGTTCTTAGCAATGCATATTACTAATCAAAAATTAAGTTTTGATATATTTACGGTAGGAAATTTACAAAATATCTTCATGGAACATGATCTTTACTTAATATCCTAATGATTTTTAGCATAAAAGAAAAATGTATAATTTTGACCCATACAATGTATTGTTGGCTATTGCTACAAATATACCCCAGCGACTTAAGACTGCTTTTGTGCTGCAGGGTCACATATTGCTACCCTGTTGCTGCACCTTTGGCTCAGAATGCATTCTGAAATTCTCACTGCATTTTGCTACAGTTATCACGCGGTATTATGAAGAAAATGCAATCCCAAGTGCCCTAAGTCTAAATGCACGAACAGCGAGAACATCCTGCTAAACATCTGGAGGAAGAAAGAAAGTCATAAACGACGACAAAATGATAATTTTATGGTTGAACTGCTCCTTCAAAGGTTGAGGCTTTCATTCTTTGTGTTCACATGAGAAGAAACCGACGGCCTTCGTGAGTGAATGATCCGCTGGCGGAGAACCAGGCTGGAGAAACATTCATAAACACATTAATTCACACTGCATTTCTGTACAGGACTTCAATCCACAGCCAGTGTGTGTTTGATGGCTTTTGCATGCGATCGTGTGCTGGCAGCTCGTGCAAGCAGTGACATGCTGTCAAACACAGAGCCAATGTCCCACAATGCACCGGGGTCAGGCACAACATGTCGTTATAGTGCTGCTCAATTCCAGGTTTTGGAATCGATTCTAAGAAACGCTTCTTTTATCTTACAAACAGTCATTTTTGATGTAATTTCATTCCCTAAAGTGCTCACAAAATATACAAAGTTGTACAAAAATATGTACAAAATGCAATTAAATTTAATTTAATTCATTCATTTACATTATGAACAACAACAAGCCCATTTCTACGGAAGCAATAATATAAAAAATAATACCATCTCGAGATTAAAGTCGTTAAATTGCGAGAAAAAAAATCGTTAAATTTCAAGAAAAAAGTCGAGATAAAATGTTGAGATTAAACTCATTAAATTTCGATAATAAAGTCGTTATGTTTCGAGAAAAAACTCCTTAAATTTCAAGGGAAAAAATGACTTTTTTTCTCGTAATTTAATGTTTAATCTCAACATTATATTTCGACTTTTTTCTCAAAATTTAACGATTTTTTTTTTCTCGAAATTTAACAAGTTTTTTCTCATTTTTTAATGAGTTTATTCTCAACATTTTATCTTGACTTTTTTTCTCGCAATTTAATGACTTTTTCTAGAAATTTAATGAGTTTTTTTTCTCGTAATTTAATGAGTTTTTTCTCGTTATTGAATGAGTTAATTCTCAACATTTTATCTCGACTTTTTTTCTCGCAATTTAACGACCTTTTTTCTCGCAATTTAACGACTTTTTTTCTCAAAATTTAACGTCTTTTTTCTCAAAATTTAACAAGTTTTTTCGCGAAATTTAATGAGTTTAATCTCAACATTATATTTCGACTTTTTTCTCAAAATTTAACGATTTTTTTTTTCTCGAAATTTAACGACTTTAATCTCGAGATGGTTTTATTTTTTTATTATTGCTTGGCCCTAATCCTCTTCCGTACATTTCTGCCAAAGAATAAAATAAATAAATAAAAGATTACTGTAACTTTTTATTTCACAATTCTAGTTTTTTTTTCTCAGAATTGCAAGATAAAGTCAAAATGACCTTTTATTTATTTTTTATTCCATGGCAGAAACGAACAAAACAGATTTGTGAGATGTAAACTCAGAATTCAGATTTTTTCTCCTAGCAAGTCGAGGTTACATTTTGCAATTCTGAGTTTATATATCACGATTCTATTTTCTTTTTCTTTTGTTTCCACCACAAAATAATAAATAAATAAGACAATTGCGACTTTTTATCTCACAATTCTGACTTTTTTCTAACAACTGCAAGTCTAACAATTTGTACTTTTTTTCTCAGAATTGTAGATTATCTTGCAATTCTTGCAACATTTATATCGTGCAATTCAGAATTCTGAGAAGAAAACTCAGAATTGGGAAAGATCAACTAAATTGTGAGGTAAAAAGTTGCAGTTACCTTTTTTAAAATCCTGTGTCAAAAACATAAATAACAGTCAGGTTGCTACAGTACTGTTGTCAAAAAAAGAGACAACTTTGATAATATGATCAATATGCATGCTTTATTAAGTTATTAAGTAACAACACTAGATATCTGGGTTGACTGCTTTCACAGAAAATATGTTAAAAATTCCAAAAAGCACAAGAACTTTTTGGGAAAAGCGAACTGTAGTTGAATATTAGCGCTGCAGTTCAATCTTCATAGGAACAGATTCCCTGGAGTGGAATCGACTCACGATTCTGAACACGTCGGAAATGAAGAATCGATTATTTTGGGAATTGAGTCCAGCTGAATGGATATATGTATGTGTGTGTGGGACAGGGGAAAAACACCCTATTTTAATGCGCATTTTGAAGTATCGCATGAGAAACGAGGGATGGAAACGCCAAATTTAGAATAAAAATCCCTTAATTCGCAAAAAAGTTTTTACGCTCGCTTGAGGTGGTTTTTGACTTGTGCGAAAAAGGGTTGATGCGAATAATGGGAGATGGAAATGCATTTTGCGAATAAATTCCTCCAAGCGCATCAAAAAAGTCATGTGACTGCGCTATGGGACGGCAAAACCTGACTAACCAGCGGATCGAGTGTGAGCTTAATGTCACACCTGACCGCTAACACAGCTTTATGTCTCTCTGACAGAGTCCACCTACCGCCATCAGGCCAGTATCGATGAGGAGACCGTCAGCATGGAGATTCTGGACACCGCCGGACAGGTGCGCTAAACGCAACCATACACATCATCAATAATACACTGCAGCAGGTGTACTTTTATATATGTGCACCTGGATATCCTGCGATATCTTCAAATAACCCATATATTAAAAAAGGGCGCGTTATAATCTCTCCGATCAGCGATACTCAATATAGTAAATCTACCGAACAAATGACGCAGCGTCAAATTATAAATAAAACATTTAGAAATGAATGGAAAGCCACATTTCCTGTGCTCACCTGAACTATTCATTTATTTCAGTGTCACTTCTCTTCAGATCTTTCAGTAATTTGCATTTATTCGTTATTTTCACTCAAGTATCCATTCCAGGCGTGATGACGCTCTAAAGTGACTCTGAAAGCTGATTGGCTGGAATGGCTTTCTCTGATGCTGATTGGTTATAAATGCGAGAGGAGGGACATTCCATAGTGTTGCGAATATCTGTTCTGATTGGTCAGTAATGAGAACCAGTGTTTAAAGGGGTCATATGATGCTGCTAAAAAGAACATTATTTTGTGTATTTGGTGTAATGAAATGTGTTTATGCGGTTCCTTTATAAAGAATATCTCTTTGGATTTCTTTGCAACTTTACAGATCTTCTTTATGCACCAAGAGCTTGTAACACTCTAAAGAGAAAGGAAAAAATGAAATCGCATCATATGACCCCTTTAAAACTCGCATGCAACTTAATTATTTTGCGTGCTTTAATCGACAAATGTAAGGTTAGGTATTAATACAAAAATTAACCTCCTGTTTGCTAATTTTCAAAGAGCTATTATGATATAAATTAAATATTTGATTATGTATCAAAAAAGCTATTAAAACTTTGAATGTACCTTTATACGATGTGATCTTTTGAATTAATTGTTATTATATGTGACCCTGGAGCACAAAACCAGTCATAAGGGTCAATTTTTTTAAATGGAGATTTATAAACCATCTGGAAGCTGAATAAATAATCTTTCCATTGATGTATGGTTTGTTAGGATAGAGTTGTTCAAATTAAGTTCTTAGCAATGCATATTACTAATCAAACATTAAGTTTTGATATATTTACGGTAGGAAATTTACAAAATATCTTCATGAAACATGATCTTTACTTAATATCCTAATGATTTTTGGCATAAAAGAAAAATCTATAATTGTGACCCATACAATGTATTGTTGGCTATTGCTACAAATATACCCCAGCGACTTAACACTGCTTTTGTGCTCCAGGCTCACATATATCCTGTTTTCACTTTAATTTTAGTTGTTATTGTCGTATTTTTATTTATTTTTACTCGTTACTTTTAGATTGTTTTAGTACTTGAACTTAAACTAAACGAATTTTATTTCAGCTTTACTTCAGTTAACATTTATTTTATTTCAAGTAACAATTTTTTTATGGTTTCACTTTTAGTTAACGGTGGTCACAGGTTCGTTTCTCCTGCATTAACCACTGATGAACCGGGTTTGAACCTACAACCCTCGTCTTTGACCGCTAGGCCACACCCACAGGTCATGTGACCTTACTAACAGTGTGTTTGTGTTCCTCAGGAGGACGTGCTCCAGAAAGAGGGTCACATGCGCTGGGGCGACGGGTTCATCCTGGTCTATGACATCACAGACCGCGGGAGCTTCGAGGACGTGGCTCCGCTGAAGGGCCTCCTGGACGAGGTCAAGCGGCCCAAACACGTGCCTCTGGTGCTGCTGGGAAACAAGGCGGATCTGGAGCACGCCCGGCAGGTGGCCACGGAGGAGGGCGAGCGGCTGGCGGCGGACATGGCCTGCGCGTTCTACGAGTGCTCGGCGTGCGCGGATCAGGTGGGGACGGGCGGAGGCGTGGCGGAGGCGTTTCACGAGCTCTGCAGGGAGATCCGCCGCAGACGCGCCGTTCAGGGCAAAACCCGCCGCCGCAGCTCCACCACACACGTCAAACAGGCCATCAACAAGATGCTGACCAAGATCAGCAGCTAAAGCATCTCTGGATATATATAACCCTCAGGCCATCCGAGATCAGGAGGAGTTCGTTTCTTCATCAGATTCGGAGAAATGTGCAATGGATGCTCTGCAGTGAATGGGTGCCGTCAGAACGAGAGTCCAAACAACTGATAAAAACATCACAATAATCCACAAGTAATCCACAGCACTCCAGTCCATCAGTTAACATCTGGAGAAGACAAAAGCAGAAACAAATCCAGCATTAAGACATTTCTAACTAAAATACAATACGTCTATAATCCATAATAACGCTTCCTCCAGTGAACAAGTGCATCTCCTGTTGTCTCTCACATCAAAATCCAGCCACATGTTTGTTTTGGACTGCAGCTTTATAAATTTATGAAACTAAGCATGTTTCCTCAGAATGATGTGTTCTTCATATGTAAAACGTTTTACAGTTTTGTTTCACACATTTTCAAAACGTTGCCTCTTTTTTTCAAAACTTTACACACAAATCCAAGAATTGCACACACAAAATGCTAAATGCCTCACATCTCTTGCGAAATGAAGCACTGCATTCAAAATATCACAAATGCATCTCAAAAGATGAACTTGCCATCTTTTCCAGCAAAGCTGATTTTCCTGATGCTGATGCGCTGGTTTCATATTATAATAATGGACTAACTGAGATTTTGGATGTTTATGCACCTGTGAAAACCCGAACTGTTTCTTTTAGACATTCTGCTCCTTGGTTTACCCCAGAACTTCGTCAATTTAAAACTAAAGGCCGTAGGTTAGAGCACCTGCATGCCAAATCTGGTCTTACTGTACACAACAATAAGTGCTTGCTGACCATAGCCAACTTTACAAGGATGCACTGTCTAAGGCTAAATTTGACTATTATTCTAATTTAATTGGAGCTAGTGAAGGGAACTCAAGATCTCTCTTTTCTGTGGTAAAAAATATTTTACGACCACCTGACTCTCTGCCATCAGATATGTGTTCTACCACACTATGTGACAGTTTTATGACTTTCTTTGAGTTTAAGATTAAAAATATTCACCAACAATTACTTGCAAGTAACTTAGGTTATGATGTCCATTGCCCAGCCTTTCATGTGCCCCCACACTCTGTTTTCTCCACTTTTTATTTACCAACTGCTGTGGAGATACTGTCATATCCGGGAATCTAAGTCTACTACCTGTTGGCTTGACCCTTAACCAACTCACTTAGTTAAATCCTGTCTACCATCTTTATCTTCATTAATTACTAAAATTATTCACTCTTCTCTTGTTTCTGGCTCTGTACCCTCCTCTCTTAAATCTGCTATTATTTCTCCCATCCATAGCCAGGGGCTGATCCATCTAACCTAGATAATTACCGTCCGATTTCAAATTTGCCATTCATCTCTAAAATTCTGTAAAAGTGTGTTGCAACACAGGTCCATGATCATCTCTCTGATAATAAACAGTTTGAGCATTTTCAATCTGGCTTCCGTCCCCACCACAGTACAGAGACTGCTCTTGTTAAAATCACTAATGATCTGTTGTTGGCAGCTGACTCTGGTTTATTAACCATACTTGTCCTTCTTGACCTGAGTGCGGCTTTTGATACCATCTTGCATAAGATACTCCTTGACAGGTTAGTTTCTATTGGGATCACTGGCACACCCCTGTCCTGGTTTATGTCATATCTCTCTGGTCGCACTCAGTTCGTCCAACTTAAGCACTTACGATCGAGATCATCTACAGTTACTACTGGTGTTCCTCAGGGTTCTGTTTTGGGCCCGCTTCTATTCATAATGTATTTACTCCCGCTTGGTCACGTTTTCAGGAAATATGGTATTCACTTTCACTGCTATGCCGATGACACCCAGCTCTACCTGTCTTCTAAACCACCTGACACTTTTCCTCCACCTTCTTTGTCCAGCTGTTTAGCTGAAATCAAAGACTGGCTTTCAGCTAACTTTTTAAAACTTAAAGGGGTCAAATGATGCCGCTAAAAAGAACATTATTTGCTTTAACAGCAATAAAACTGAGGTCTTACTTGTTGGCACAAGATCTACTCTCACCAAATCTGACTGTTTTTCTGTGGATATTGATAAAAATGCCATTTGTCCTTCTCCACAGGTTAAGAGTCTGGGTGTTATTCTGGATAGCACACTTTCGTTTGAAGCCCATATTAATAATATTACGCGTACTGCATACTTTCATCTGTGTAATATTAATAGTCTCCTTCCTTCCCTCACAATGAACAACACTGCAACTCTCATCCATTACTTCACGTATTGATTACCGCAATGCTCTTCTTACTGGTCTTCCTTCTAAACTTCTCCATAAACTTCAGTTGGTTCAGAACTCTGTGGCTCGTGTTCTTACTAGAACCCCTTCCACTGTGCACATTTCACCAGCTCTCCAGTGCCTACACTGGCTTCCAGTGAAGTACCGCATTGATTTCAAAATTCTGCTTCCCACATTCAAGGCACTTCACAATCTCGCTCCTCCATACCTTACTGATCTTCTTCATATTTATACCCTTCCACGCACTCTGAGATCTTCACACTCGCTCTCCCTGGTGTCGCCACGTATACGCTTAACTGCCATGGGAGCTAGAACATTTTGCCACACGGCCCCTTGCCTATGGAACTCTCTCCCTCTCAAAATTCGTAATAGTGACAGTCTGCATACTTTTAAATCTTTTTACCAAGGCTTTTTTATGACCTGTACTGTATTATACTGTTTCTATGATGCATGTGTGCTTTTAAGTTGTTGTGATGCTAATGGGATTTGTTTATTGTTATTCATCTATTTATTCTTTTAGACTATTGTTTGTCTGCTTGTAAGGTGACCTTGGGTGTTATGAAAGGCGCCGTTAAATAAAATGCATTATTATTATTATTAAAAGCAAACATTTGCAAACTCCTTTGCCATAATATTAATTCCTGTTAGATTTTTGTGTGTTACATAGAGAATTGTGTGTTGTGTTTTGCAAAAAGGGTTTTATGAAATTGAAAACTGAGTCAAAGGTCCAGAATTAGCGTATGGTTTTGCAGATTTGGTGTGTGCTTCTGCTGTTTGAGTGTCAGCTTTCAGAAACTGTGTGACGAGGAAAGATCTTGTGTGTAAGCAGTTGGAAAAAAACTGTAAAGAGTTTGGATAATGCACTTTAAAGATATAAGAAAATGGTAACACTTTACAATAAGGTTTCAGTTGTTAACAGTAGTTAACTATAATAGTTAACATGAACAATATTTATATTGCATTCATTAATCTTAGTTAGTATTAAGTTCAAAATGTACTAACATTATTAATTAAAATTTAAAGTTGCATGTGTTAACATTACTTGATGTACTGTGAACTAATATGAAAATATTTTTTATTAATAATTAACAAATAACATTAATAAATACTTTGTTAGTTCATGTCAGTTAATGCAGTAACTAATGTTAACAAATGAGAACTTATTGTAAAGTGTTACCAAAACTAAGCATTTAAAACAAATTATTTTAATGATCTATAAGCATTTGTGATATAATCATGTAAAACTATATTACCAAATCCATCATTAAGACGTTTTTAACTCAAATACGAGTCCATAATAATAGACACACACACACACACACACTCTCTCTCACACACACTCACACACACACACACACACACGGCCAGTGCTGGGGAAAGTTACTTTTAAAAGTAATGCATTACAATATTACATTACTCCCTAAAAAAGTAACTAATTACGTTACTTTTTATGGAAAGTAATGCTGTACGTTACTTTTGAGTTACTTTTAAAACCTGGGCAGGGATTGCTTGTTTGTTTAACTCAAATACGAGTCCATAATAATAGCGCTTCCTCCAGTGAGTCAGTGTTCTGGTGTGAATCAGGAGAGAAATCTGCACAGATCAAGCAGCGTTTAAACAGCTCTAAACAAATCTGTGGCTGGATTTTGATGCGAGAGACAACAGCAGATGCATTTATAGACTTATATGGATTATGGACTCAATGTATTTTAGTTAAAAACATCTTAATGCTGGATTTGTCTCAGCTTTTGTCTTCTCCAGATGTTAACTGATGGACTGGAGTGCTGAGGATTGCTTGTGGATTATTGTGATGTTTTTATCAGCGCTTGTTCTGACGGCACCCATCCACTGCAGAGCATCCATTGCTGAGACACTGATGCATTTCTCCAAATCTGATGACGAAACCAACTCATCCACATCTCGGATGGCCTGAGAGTGAGCACATTTCCATTTTTGGGCAAACTATTCCTTTAACACAAGTATCTGCCAGTGTGGTTAGGAAAAAATCTTTAGTAAGTTTATTTTTCTGACTCCATTGGCAGATATTTGTTCTTGTTTCAAGCATAAACTCGCCTAATTTTTATACATTTTTCAGAAAACAAGTCATTTTGCGTCTGAAGTAAAAGTTCCTTAATTTACACTGGAAAACAAGACAGATGTACTGAGGAAGGAGCTGATTTTTTTGCAGTGCAGACGTTGTGAACTGCGCAGACGCATCAGTGCCTCATGTTTCTTCGTCTATGTGGTGTGTTTTCTCTGCGTGTTTCTTCGCGGTCTGAGGCCTGCGGCTGTATATTTGTTCTTACAGCTGAACTGAAGGATGGCGTGAAACATCAACACACATATCAGGGTCTCGGATCGCTCGCGTGTTGACTTAACAGAGATATTTTGAGCTGTCAAATAAAGCGCTATCCCGTTGATAATCGCGGCTCTCTGACTTCAAACGAGGATGGAATGTCTCCTGATGCTATCTCAGTGTTTCAGGACAGATCATGTCCACATGTTTTCCTCCTGACTGTCACAAACTCCTGTAAACACCTGTAGATTTCTGCCTTAATGACTCCAGAGCTCTATTGATGTGTACAGTAAAGACGTCTGACCGTGTTCTCCGTGCATTGTAGATTTTCTCTTGGAGATTCCAGCAGAAATGTGTTTAAACCTCATGCATATGAAGAGAAAACAGCTGCTGGTTTGCATTCGTCTCCTGGTTCATCTGCAGTTGATATAAAACACAAACATCAGGGTGAGATCTCACAGGTTTGTTTCTCAACAGAAACTAAA